TTTCAATGGCTTTCTGTAGCTCATCAACACCATTTGCCAACTCTTTGATCTTATTGAAAGTCATGAACACATCTAACGGCACATCTGTAATTCGACAAACAAGTGGTATTGATTTTAAAAACTCAATGCTTCCACAACGATTAATTTGAGTGTATTGTTCTTACATGGATTGACAGCCAGCAATTTGTTGAGAAAACGGTCCTTCGACAAATTCGCATCGCCAAAATAGAATTCCATTTGGTGCCGGATTCGGTTATAGTATTGCTTTTTCCTTTTGCGCGGTTGTTGTGACTTTCCGCTTTGTCTGCTTACTTCCATATCGGCAAAAATTGCCTCCATTGGTGAATGTGCTAAAGGTCTAGACAATTCAAACGGTTTTAAAATCATTTTGATTAACCATGATTAACGATTAAAAAAAATTAAAATCACGCCTTACTTACCGAATCCCGCCGAAATCAACAAAAAATGGTTTGTTTGGTGTTTGTGTTGAACTGAACTTTTCGAAGGTTATGTTTTGAATGCCAAAATACGAAGTAAACGATTTACACATCTGATATTTGACACTAGTGTCAAATTCAATATGTTCAGTGTTAGGGTTGGTCAAAACGATATCGTTTGTCAACTGAACACTATTTCTGCATTTCAATGAAAATATATATAAATATTTGATTTCCAGAATTTATTTATTTACTATCTTAACATTTGCTTTAATTTATCAACTTGTGAATTTGATTGATTGCTCTTTGCCTTGAGAGCATTAGCCAGCAACATAATGTTTGCACGTCTTGGAGCCGGTTGCGAAATATTCTTGGACTTTTGTTTCGGTCCCTTTGGTGTATTTCTTTTGTTTTTATTCGCATTTTGATTCGTATTTTTATTGAATTGATTCGAACCAATTGCCTTCTTCTGAATATTCAGAGTTTGTGTTTGTTGGCAGAGGTTGACTATTTTCTTTGCAGAGTTGGTGTCGTCTTTTTTCAATGAATAGAGTAATCCAGCATTTTTGTCCTTCTTCTTTTTCTTAACTGGAGCTGGATGTGGTAGTCTCGCTGCTTCGATGGGCTTTATTTTTTGAACGACAGTTTTCTGTTGTTTCTGTGATTCAGTTTTCTGTTCTTTCTGTGGTTTGGCCTCGGCTGTCGATTTTTTGTACAGAACAACCTTGTTTTTGTGTTTGCATAGATCACACTTCACGGTCTGCAGAGAACAAAAATACGGTTAGAATAAGCAAAATTAAATCTTTTGCCATTTTTTTTTTTGGGAACTAAGAATTAAATTCAGTGCAAAATTGAATTGCACAAGTTGACATACCACAATGTTATTCACACGTTTCGAAAATTTCTTGGCCAAATGGTTTTTCCGCTTGGATTTATCTTCGATTTGCTTGTGAAGTTTCCGTGCTTTTCGTTGTGTCACTTTAATTGGTGCAATGGATATGGAATAACCCGCATCGGCCCATGGTGTTGAACATTTTCGGCACATTTCCTCATCGCTCAATAGTGTTTTGGTTTGAGCCAGATCTGATTGTGCTAATTTTTTACACTTTGTTCTGAAATTGAAAATAGATTATTCATCGCCCATTGTTCAATACAAAAAAATATCACACACTTACAAGTAATAAGACTTGAGCAATTTCTGTGCGTAGTTCTGAGAAGGCAAAAGACTTGCTGCTTTCATTAAATAGTTCACATTACTGCGTCGATTTTCATCCGAATCCATTTTAAAACAATTCCAACCGATTCCAGGCGAAAAACGAAATAAAATATCGAGTAAACAAAACAACGTGTGTGCGTTGGCTGCGACTCAGTGGAACCAACACACTTGTCAGGTGGTGTTTTGACAGAACGAAACATTTTGACATTACGCACATCTGACACATAAGTATGGGTTCCATTTTTGACAATTATATATTTCTCTTTTTCTTTGCAGTATTGAATTGTATGTGCTCTTTGTGATCGTATTTTTTGTTGAGAAAGAAAAAGTGTTTTTCGGTAGAAAAATTGGACAGCGACGAGTGCGAATCGTTCATACTCACAGCGAAAAGAGTCGAATAAAATGAGCGAACTTTTTAAAAATCTCGAATCAAATAATCCAACGCTGGTGGAAGAATCCAAAAATGAGCTCATTAAATCACTCGGACAAACAAAAGAGAATTGGCTGGTGTATGGGATGATGGAGCATTTTGCCACGCAAAATTCCATTAAAATTGTCGAAATACTAGTCAAGGTACCGCAATCACATGACACCTACATATTCGATAAGCTATTCGATTGGGTCAACACGAGTGAAAAGCGAAATCAGGCATTCAAATTGTTTGCATTGATTGTGCAAAAACATCCGTCGTGGCTGTATCGAGTGGTTAATCATCGATTGTTTCGTGAAATGTTGAACATCGTCAAAACCGAACGGAATATCAACACAACGTTACATGGCCTTTTCTGCATCACCATACTGTTGCCGATAATTCCAGCGCTGATGAACGATTATCTGCAAGATTTATTCACAATTCTTCTATTTTTGGCCAATTGGAAGGCGACCAATAGTCCCGAACTGTGCGGCAATCAACCCGTTTATCTGCAGACTGGCATTGAACGATTGTTCCAACGCCTGTACGGCATGTATCCGTGCAATTTTATGGCATATCTGCGTGAACACATAAATGAAAAGACAATGAAGGTGATTGGGCCGTTAGTTGAAAATACACGCGGCCATCCGATGCTGGTGTTTTCGAATGCCGAATTGGAGAAGAATCAGGCACGTTGGAAGGAGATGGAACCACACGATATCGTACAAGAATGCGAGAAATTCTCGTTGGAAGTTTCGGTGAGGAGTAAAGAGTGTGAACAAGAACACAAAGAAACACCGTGGTACAGCCAAATACTAGCAAATGACCGTTTTAAACACACATTTGCGCCAATTTCTGCGACTGAAACAAGTACAAAGTATAAAGTTAAGAATGCAAATAAATGGGATAACATTTGGTCACCGAGTAGTGCGGTGTTAGCCACACCACCGCCAACCAATACAATGGCCATTACACATACGCCGACGCCGATTATGTCGCAGAATTACAACATTCAGTCGATACCTGGCAGTGGACAGTACACAAGTAGCGGTGCATCGCCACCAGAAGCAGCCGTTGAAGGTTTGTCTCTCGCTTGCATTTTTTTCTTTTTTTGATTTTTATTGAAATAATTGCAATTTTCATCAAATTTTTGTCTCACTTCATTTTATAGCCACTCCGGAGACGACTCCACTGAGAGATTTCAAGCCACATCGACCATATCCGGTCAATTCAAGTGCGGCCCGAACGATATGGGGCAATTCGTCGCAGCCGTCATCACCGTTGAAGAGAGACGAACATTTCCGATATGAAATTATGCATGTGACGAATGCGACAAGTGAAAAATTCCTCAAAATGATGATTGACCGGAATGAGGAGAAGCATAAGTCAACCGTCAGCCGATACAATGATATTGAAATCCAGAATCCGTTGTGCGAAAATGATGATACGCTAAATATTGAATCGAGCAAAGAGGATGAAGAGGTGACGGAAATAAACAAACTTAAGACGAATAAACTGACTGAAACCACACCAAACACCGAAAAAGATATTCGAAGTCGAGCCAATTTAATGAAATACCATCAAATGAAAAGTATGGAAGATAGTTTCGGTCAAACCGACTATTTGATGTTCAATCCGAACGAGTTTGATGAGAAAACCAAGAAAATGTCAAACAATGAACGGGAGACAAAGACTTTGGGCGGGCAAAAGGGCAACATTTGCACGGTGGAAACACAAACGGATATTACGATGCCGTTAGCATCGGGCGGTCTATTGGATCAATATGTGGAAACAACAATCAAACGGCATTTAACAACGGATCCAAGCAGTCGCGCTGACATGGAACTCCAATTGTTGTACTTGCAATTGCAATACGAACGATACCGCCGTGAAGTGTATGCCGAGCGAAATCGACGTTTATTAGGCCGAAGCCGAGATAATGCAACACTCAAAACGGATATCGAAAAATTGAAGTCGCAACTGGAGAGTCTGTCACGCGAGCACAGTTCGTTGATCAAAAATTTCAATGAAGCAAAAGTGGCGCAGAACACCACGGAACACAAATTATCCACCGAATGCAATTTGATGCGTGAAGAAATCCAAATGCAACGTGACACAAATAAAAAATTGCAATTGAACATCGAAACGTTGGACCGTCGTTTGGCCGAAGAGGTCGAAGAGAAAAAGCGATATGCGGGTATGCTCGAATCTGCTCAGGCTGAGATATTCGATTTGAAGAATTTGCTGCGACAATGTCAATACCAAGCCGATGTTGGAGCCAAATACAAAGAAGAACTGCAACGGCTACAATCACGTGAAGTTTTGATGGGCGAAATCAAGTTGAAATGCAGCGAGAAACTGATTGAATTGGAAAATTTGCGTGCACGTGAAAGTGAAATAAATAACATCAAAGACGCATGCTTGGAAGAAGTCAAAGAATTGAAATCAGAACTAACGAGCAAAACATCATCGCTGGATGCAGCTAAGGAGCGTATACAGAATATGGAGGCGCAATTACAGCGACAAAATGGGGTCGTTTCGGATCAAAAGCGATTCGTGAAAATGGTAAAAGAAGAATATGAAGAGAAGCTGAAGGCAGTGGAAGCTAAATATGCGGCACAAAAGGCCATCATCTTACGAATGGAGGAATGCATTTTAGATCCGAGTAAACATCGGTCGAATGTTAATTCCGAACCGGATAAATCAGGTAAGAGTATCGATTTTGAATGAGTTTTGAGAAAACTTTTTGGATTTATTTTGATTTTTTTTTCCAAATCATCATTCCAGATACAGTTGGCTCACTGGACCACGCATCACCGCTATCGATGTCGTTGGCATCGAGCGAGGGAATGTCATGGAGTTTGAAATCTGTTACCGAAATCAAGAACTTATCACATCTTTTGGACAACAGTACTTCAACAGTATTTTCACCATCCAGCCTTAATGGGGACACGTCTTCCAGTAATCGTTTAGCACAAGTGTCCGATGATATTCCTGTACCTAGCACAAGTCACTCGCAATTTTATCCATCATAAAGTGTCGCACCACAATTCGGGGCAATAGTTGCGTTTGGAAGAGCGAAAGAGAAATAAAATTTACCTTTTTTACTATTTGGAATCGCTCATACGGCTAAATATAGCCTAGCAAAATTCCTTCCCACTAAACAAAATCATAGCTGCATAAGAATATTCTGTTTTAAAAAAAAATGAAGCTTCAAGCATGCTTTGGATTATAAAACAATGTTAATACATTCAACTTAAGAAGATGTGCACACATTTTTAATACAAATCAATGAAATCGGCTGCATAAATAAAATGCCGTTTATTTTGGAAGCAAAACACAGGCTGTGTCTATATATTTGTTGTTGTTGTTGTGACATCTCGATGTATATGTTTGTGAACCCTTTTGACATTAATCGATGCATTGTACGCGTTTTCGGCTACAGTTTGACAGTTCGCTTTTGTATGTATTGAGTCATACAGTGAATGTTATGCGTGTCAATTTTTGTTCAGTCAACATCGGTCAACATATTCATTGTTCGGAAAAACAAGTATTATTTTGTAAATAGCTTTAAAAACATAAAAATTAGGAAAAATGAATATCATTGACACGCTGTACGATAATGAGGATTTGTCCACGGACGAGGGCATCGAAGCAATATGCGAGAAAATTAAGAATTTAAACGTAAGTGTCACCAAATATATCATTTTGAGGTCATAACACAAATAATACAAATTGTATCGGTCAACAAAATCACCGACAGAGTGGAGTAAACGGTCGACTGGATGAGTTGTTGGGCCGGCAATCAAAAATTGAACGCCAAATGAATAATATTGGCCGTTCGTTGGCTGGTTTGAATGTGGCAAACGATGAGGCTAACAAGGTGAACTCAATGGTTGAGAACACTTCGTCTTTGGCGGAAAATGTGAGTGCCAAGGTTCGACGATTGGACGAAGCGAGAGTAAGTAAAATGAACAGACATTTATCGAAACACTAAGCTCAAGATGAAAACACATCGCAATAACTTAAATTTCTCTCCAGAAACGTGTCTCTGAATGTCAACAGCGCGTACACGATTTGATCGATTTGCAAGTGTGTTCGCAGGGTGTAATTGCTGCTATCAAATCGGAAGATTTTGAAAAAGGTGCTGGTCACATCAATCGATTCCTGTCAATGGATGAGAAACTACTCCAGCGAACCGCTGACGATGTTTCCGGCTCAATAACATCGGTGAATCGAGCGTTCAATACGCTCACCGAAGCAACGACTCAACTGCGTCAAATTATAAACAAAAAGTTCGACGAGGCGGTTGCAAAAGATGATTTAGCATCGGTTGAGCGATTTTTTAAGATTTTCCCACTGTTGGGTAAGCATCAGGATGGTATAGAAAAGTTTGCCGGTTACATTTGTGTGAAATTGGAGAAGAAATCTCAGAAAGAGCTACGGAACTCATTGGATATGGCGAAGGCAGATAATCGAGTTGCTATTGCATATGCTGACGTCTTGACACTGTTGTTTGAGAACTTTGCACGAGTCATGGAAGTGAATCAGCCAATCATTGAAAACTACTATGGTTATGGCTATTTGATTGATCTGTTCAGAATTCTGCAAAGGGAATGTGATAGCGAAGTGAAGAAAACAATTGCGGAATTTAACAAAAATCGACACATTCAACGTCACATGCAGAAAATCAATGACTTCCAAAAGTCTAGTGGTCAACAAGGGCTGGGACACTTTCGCAAACCTTCAGGTGGTTCGGTTGATAAACTCAATCCAAAGGATATTGATGGTCTCTTGATAGAAATCACCGTAATGCACGCTCGGGCTGAACTCTATATCAAATTCATGCGACGCAGGATTACGGTAAATATTGACAACATGCATGCGGAATTGGAAGAAATAATTCTTAATCATTTTCTTGTGAATTTGTGATAAAATGGTATAAAATGAACATAATTCCACAGAATGATGTTGATAAAACATTGGATCCAACGGAATCGGCCAAAATTGTTGAGAATAATCTAAAAACATTTGAAGAAATCGTTTCAAAATCGGTGCTGAGCGTTCAAATGCAAGAGCTACTCGGAACGTATTTGTTGTTTGAAGGGCAAGAATAATCAAAATTTCTGGACAAAATCTTGATTTAAAAATTTTTTTTTGCTATTTTGTAGGTATTTCATGGAAGAAAGTATTTTGAAAGCGATTGCTTTGGATACATTCGAACCAGGGCAGAAGTGTTCAAATGTTGTGGACGATGTATTTTTCATTATTCGCAAGTCAATAAGGTAATTTGTGTTCCTATTCATAGACTTCATGTCCTAAAATGACTGAAAACTGACCCAGAAACACTCAACATGCAATTTCCCCAAACAGACGGTCCATTGAAACCCAATCAATCGACGGTGTGTGTGCCGTAATAAACAATGCTGCCACTTCACTTGAGGAAGATTTTGTGTCAGCATTAAAGACGCCGCTTAAAAATGGTTATCCATCGGGCTACATTGATTTGGCGCAGGCATACAATGCATTCCAAACATCAATTCAGCAGGGAAAACTGCAAACAAATGATAACGAACAATCCAGAGCCAATTTCATAGTTCAGTTAAACAATGCGGATATGTCGACGGAATTTATCGAAACGCTAACGAACAGTGTCAGTGAAGATATTAGATGTGCCTTCCCACGAATATCACCAAAAGTGAGTGGATTGGTTGAGAGCTGTTTGGCTGGAATGAAGTCGGTGCGTGATACATTGAAAGCGGTCGTTGATTTTGGATTGCAGCAATTAAGATCAACAGCAATTAAACCACGACTTCATACATGGATCGATCAATTCATTTCGTTAAACCATACTTTAACCGATGAAGAATTGGCCAACTATGAAGCTGGCGAAACGTTTGCACATTCATTAATTCATCAGTTAGATACGTTACTGAAGTCGTTCCAAAATGTGATGAACAGCAGAAACTACGATGCTTTGGTGAGCATCGTTGCCACCGATGCCACAGCTCGATTGGAACGTGCGATCAAAAAATCATCATTCAATCGATTGGGTGGCCTGGTTTTAGATCAAGAAGTTCGTGCACTTGGATCGTATTTAACAGCCGCAACATCTTGGTCAGTTCGAGACAAAATGATTCGATTGACACAAATTGCGACACTTTTGAACTTAGAAAAGGTATACTTTGCTCAATGATTTTACAAGAATTTGGCCGAATTAAAGTATTTTTCTGGTTCCTCCAAACAGTTATCCGAAGTACAAGAGTACTTGAACCCAGGCGAACAAGAAGATCGCACGACATGGCGTTTAACAACATCAGAAGTGAGAACGATTTTAGCGTTGAGGGTCGATTTCAAAATGGACGAAATTAAACGATTAAAATTTAATTAGGATTTGTTTAACCATAGCACTTATTTGAATGTATAATAATTAATCAGTCAATTGATAAAATGTTCAAAATAATGAATACATAGTTTAAAATGACTACAAATGGTTGTGTTTGGCGTTGTCTGAGTCGGTTGTATTTTATTGTTCTTTTGTATTGAACGGAGCACTTGTGGATAAGTACACCATTTGAATCTAAAGCGAAAATTTGTGTACGATGTCAATTTGCTTATTCAACAATTTCTCTGTTGTATATTGTTTATCGCATTGATTCCAATTAAATCAGTAAAAATACTGATGAAATTATATTGAATGTTTTGCGATAAGTCCAAATGTAAGCAACGATTTCTCTTGCTTGTATTTCTTGTGGAGATTTGGTTGCTCGTAACTTGTTTACAAAACAAAGAAGAATAACAAAATTCGTTGAGAGAAACAGAGTGTTTATTCTTCACAATATATACATTTGAAGCTAGTTTTGCCAGCTAATAAAGCGGATATTTGGTTGCATACATACACAATATCGCTATTTCGCGCTCAGTTTCGAATAAATATTCAGGAAAATACACACTCTGGCAAAAAATGTGTTTGCGATCCGATTCCCATGTAAGAAAATATTAACATTTATTATAAACTCCTTCGATTTTTATGATTGCGAGAGCTCATGAGACACCATACAGCCACCAATTGTGTTGGATAAGGGCAGAGTTTGAAAACTTGTGATTCAGCGATTTGTTCAATGCTCATATAAACGAATGCGTTCATAAACATGCAGTTTTTCGAGTTAATGTTATACTTTTCTGTAAACACTACATATATGTACACATATACATCTACTTGAGTGAATTTTATAATACTACACTGCTGAGCTCACATTGAGCGTTACATGCAAACCTTTACATATCCATTTCAGCTGCAGCGTTCACTTCTTAAGTGATTTCAAGTTGGTGCAGTCGATAATTGCTGCGCAATAATTTGTTCCTTGAGAAATTCTACTTTTGTTCAGAATTTTTAAACCTATTCAACAAATTCAATTGTTGGTTTGTACAAAAAAGTCTTATTAAAAACGATTTTATCTCTGAAATCAAGTGGTGAAAATCTAATGTGAGTTCAAAAATACCATATTGAAAAGAACTTGTTAAGAATAAATTATCCCTTGTTTTAATAGTTTTTTTTAGATAAACAACAGAAACGGATTACTGCCTACAACATCCAGCATGGCCGAGAATGTATCAATTCGTACCTTGTATGTTTCGCCAATCTATTCACGTGTAAGAATCCATATTTTGGCAATTCATTTGGTTTGTTATTGGCGCACACTAATCAAAAATTAAATATTCCTATTCAGATAAAGTACGAAATTGAAGGGTACTTCGAACGATTCGGAAATGTGGAAAAAGTCCGATTTCGCGATTCAAACAATGGTTTCGAATATTGTTTCGTGCAATTTGCAACTGCTGAAAGCGCAAGATCAGCTTTAGACAACAAAAAGCATCGTATTGGAAATGTTAACGTTAAGGTCAAGGCTGCTCACTCCCACCATCAACCCGATTCAGTGGATTACTTTGATTCCGATTCCGACGAATACGGTTATAATTCAGATTCGTCTTAAATGATGCAGTTGTTGTCAATATTTTTTTCACTGCGAATTTTGAATAATTTTTCAAATAAATAAAAAAACGCAAATTCTTGCCAATTCTTTCATGAGATTATGGCTTCATTTCATTTTGAAATTAGTTTATGTGTTGGCTTGGATGTCAATGAGCAAAATATCCCATAACTTATCCACATGCGTCACATGGATTCGAATATTGCACTTTTTCCCTGGTACTGCATTCAAATAATATGTTCATTCAAAAGTAATACAGTCTTTTTCTAAATCCAATTGGTCACAATACTTTTTTGAATTTAAAAATAACTGAAAATTGAAGTTGGTTTGCATTAAGAACAACCTGTTATTTTTCCCACTCAAACGGTTTGAATTGTCAAAAGTGTATTTCAGTGCATTCTATTATGTCATAACCAACTTCATTGCTGATTGAAGCCAAGCTGTCAAGTGCACATAAGTGAGTCGCATCATTTGTTTTTGCATAATACAAAAGAGACGATCATTGTGAAAACGAAGTTATCTTGATATTTCAATTCTAAAACTTCTAAACAAAGAACGAAGAAACTCTCAAAATGGCTTCGGTTTATAAGATTAGTGTTTTGAAAAAGATGGACGAAGAACCTGGATTATTCGTTTTAATTCCAAAATCCTTTGATTTTGATAGTTTAATGAAGACCATTATCGATCGCTTTCCAAATCTTAAGGCTCGGCAATTCTTTATGTTTTATCGCGGTAGGTTTTACAGTGTTTTTATGGGATTTTTCATGTGGTAAAAATATTTGGGATAACGGTATTTTTTTTACTGAAATGCGTCTTAATCAACAGATTCGGATGATGATAAAGTGATGATCAGTACTGAATTAGATTATCGTCAATTTTGGGGACAGAAGATAAATAAGATATTCATAGTAACGGGTTCAATTGAAACGTCATGTATCGGAACGCTGCCATCAAGTTCGAACATTCTGTCAACAATTGAGGAATTTATGGAACATTTCAACAAACAGCATGAAAAATTCAACTTAAAAATGGAAGAAATGCGAAAATGTTTTGATAGAAATCAAGAAACTGGTTCCACCGCTGTCAATGGAGTGAAACAAAATCTTACAGATGAAATTGGTGCGATTGGTGGAGTGGAAGTATCATCAGTCCAAGCTGTGCAAAGCGATGAACGTTTGAATAAAGTCAACGTCTGTAGCAATAACGATGGCCAACCTTCTTGTCCTTCCTCAGTGTCGAATAACACCGAAAACACCTTAACACTTTTTAAAACGTTTACAGGCCAGAAATGGACACTCATCGGAACTGAAGAAATTGCTTCAGGTGGTTCATGCGGTAGTGCCGCAGCCGTCTCAGAGAAATCAGCTGAATCACTGCAATATTTGGATAAGTCCAACCAAATTCACCAAGCTCCAACCGAAAACGTTGTCAATTCGAATGGTGTTGAAGAATTCAAGAAACAGGAACCAGCTCGATTGCATTTAGGTTTCTTTTATTTCTTAAAAAATTTATTAAATTTTACGTTATTTCATATGTTAATATTGCTTTAATATTTTATATTCTTTATAGATCTTCGTATGAACGAAGCATTAGCTACTTTAAATGCTGTGGAATGTAAAAATGAACCGTCATTATTAGCGAATGAATCTTCTAATGCAGGGGAATTAGATACGTTTCTCGGTGCGAAAGAGACACCCGCAGCTAAGAATAGTGCTCTGGAGAATACAACGACCGAAAATCCACCACCACTACCACAACAACATCAACCAGGAATGGAGCTGGCACCGTTGCCAAAGCAATCTAATGTGTTGCTGAACTCCGAAGAGGATCAATCACTGATTGATCATCAATGTTCATACCGAAATACCGATGGTAAAAAGTGTTATACGCGTCAACAAATTATGCTATTGCGTGAAGCCGAAGCATCGCAGGCATTACCACAATTTCAAGATCATTTCTCAATTATCCGCAAGAATTCCATATCACATGGCAAAAGTGGTAGTGGGAAGAGGAAAAAAGTAAGGAAATCAGACATGATTCACGTTGAATTGGCGCTCATTAAAGATGATGTTGAACTGCATGAATAGACCAATGCGTCGAAGCCGACAATTTTGCTTGGTCCAACCGATTCAAACGATATTGATGTACTGGGCAACCGTGTGCGCGGCATTTTGAATACATTGACACCGGAAAAATTCGAACCATTCTTGGAGCAATTGCGAGCTCTAGACATTGATAGCAACGAAAAATTTTCGACCGTCATTACGGTGGTGTTTGAAAAGGTGTTTGTTGAACCAAATCTAGCTCAGATTTGTGGCAAACTTTGTTCACAGTTATGCCAAAAACTGTCAACAAAAGATGTGTTCAAAAAAGAATTGCTAAACAAATGTCAATCCGAATTCAATACGTATGTGGCCAACGAGGATGTGTTACGTGAAAAGTTCAAAAAGTCAATGCAAACCGAACTCAATGAAACAAACGATCAAAATCGTCAGCTCGAATTGACCATGCAATTGGAAGAGGAAGAGCGTAAATTGCGTCGCCGTTCCAGTGGCACGGTTAGGTTAATTGGTGGATTGTATCGACGAAATATGATTCTCCCCAGTATTTTGGAATGGTGTTTGATTGTTTTGCTGAACAGTCGTACCGAAGCGAAGCTCGAATGTTTATGCGAACTGTTGACAATAGTCGGTCCAAAAATGGAACGTAAAACACACGACGAAGTATACAACAAAAAATATTATCGAGATCTGACGCCACACTTCCAAAGCATTCAACAAATCGTATCGAATAAGGAACAATCAAAAATCAGCAACAGAGTACACTTCATGTTAATGGATGTCATTGAGTTGCGAAAGAATAATTGGGTGCCATGTCGCTCTGACTCGAATCCAATGAAAATGGGTCAAACTTCACAGGAAGCTATTGGTAAGTTATCATTTTTTCTCGTTCCGCGGAAAACATTTTCACGAATTTAACCTTAATTTTTGCAAAATTCTTTTCTCACAAACGATTGACTAAACTTCAAAATCTGAACAAAAATATTCCATTATTCCAATCACTTTGTTCCATTCTCTCTTGCAGGAGTTGCACTGAAGAATTAAGTATGTTGATGATGATTCGTTCGATTCGGAAGAAGAAGTCGGAAAATAGACATCGCTGACTATCGTCAATGTAATTAAGAAAAACAAAACAATATTAGGAAGAAAAAAATCGAAACGAAAAAAAATTACGAGCAGACGCAAAATTTACGGAGACTTGAACCAAAAAAAAAATGCAAATAATTATAATGAAATGAAGAGAAAAAATTGAGCTACATACATTATCGAAAAGACTTAAAAACAGAACGCATTTATATATGCACTGAGGATCTAAAAAAAATTAATTAGAATTTTATCAACAATATCATTTATTTTAATATTTAATGTTTAAACTTCGAATAATGAATAGCTTAAAAAGACTACACACGGATGTGTTTGGCGTTGTCTAATCGGTTGTATCTGCTGGGTTATTCTCTGGCATAGTCACGGTGCCATCATCTGAATTGTACGGGAGTTGTACTTTTGTATCGAGCAGGATTGATCGCCGGTATTTTTTTGGGTTCGATGACATGCCTACAAATTCAATATGCGTCCGCTTTTCAGTGTCAATATATATTTTTCAAATTCAATTTGGTGTCAAAGTACACCGTAGTACGACAGGAGCATTTGTGGCTAAGTTCACCATTTGAATCTAAAGAGAAAATCGTACGATGTCAATTTGCCTATTCAACAATTTCTCTGTTGCATTTTGTTTGTCGCGATATTTGCATTTAAACCTATTTTTACCAATGAAATCAGATTCAGTGTTATGCTTTACGTCTACATGTCATCGCAATGATTTTCCTTGCTGGAATTTCTTATCAAGATTTGGTTACTTGTAACTGTACACACTTGTTTACAAAGAACAAAAAATCAATCATCACTTCGAATATTCCAAGGAAGTCTTCCTTGCATTTTTTTAATACTTCTGAAAAAATTGAAAACTCTCCGAAAAAAAATTCCTGTTACGCCACTGAAAATAATTCAACTAATTCAATTGTTGGTTTGTATAATAAAGCCTTTTTAAGAACGATCTCATCGCTAAAATCAAGTGGTGAAAATCTAAGTATTCAGATATTGCATACTTTCCCCCGGTACTGCATTCAAATCATATGTTTTGTCGAGAATAAATACATTCTTCTTCTAAATCCAATTGGTCGCAATGATTTTTCCTATTTAAATTTAACTGAAAATTGAAGTTGATTTGCATTAAGGACAACCTATTTTTGCCATTCAAAAGGTTTGAATTGTCAAAAGTGAATTTCAGTGCATTCTGTTACATCATAACTAACTTCATTGCTGATTGAACTCAGGCTGTCAAGATAAGAGAATCGCATCATTTGTTTTTGCATAGTGCAAAAGAGATGATCATTGTGAAAACGAAGTGTTATCTTGATATTCCAATTCTCAAACTTCTAAACAAAGAACGAAGAAATTCTCAAAATGGCTTCGGTTTATAGGATTGGTGTTTTGAAAAAGTTGGACGAAGAACCTGAACAATTCGTTTTAATTCCAAAATCCTTTGACTTTGATAGTTTCATGAAGGCTATTTTCGATCGCTTTCCAGACATTAAAGCTCAGCAATTCTACATGTTTTATCGCGGTAGGTTTTATAGTGCGAAAAATATTTGGGAAAAATGCATTTTTAGTTTACATGGTTTATTCAACAGAAATAATTTGTTTAATTAACAGATTCGGATGATGATAAAGTGACGATCGGTACCGAATCAGATTATCATCAATTCTGGGACCAGAAGATAAATAATATATTCATAGTAATTGAAACGTCATGTTTCGAATCGCCACCACCACCACCACCACAACACCAACCAGGAATGACACCGTTGTCAGGGCAAACAAATTTGTTGCTGAACTCCGAAGAGTATCAATCACTGATTGATAGTAAATGCTCATCCGAAAATACCGATGGTAAAAAGTGTTATACGCGTCAACAAATTATGCTATTGTGTGAAGCCGAAGCATCGCAGGCATTACCGAAATTTCAAGATCATTACTCAATTATCCGCAAGAATTCCTTGTCAAATGGTAAAAGTGGTGATGGCAAAGGTGAAAAAGGAAGGAAATCGGATATGATTCTCGTTGGTTCATCTCTCATTAAAGATGATGTTAAATTGCACGAATCGACCAATGCATGGAAGCCAACTTTTTTGCTAGGTCCAACCGATCCAAATGATATTGATGTACTGTGCAAACGTGTGCGCGGCATTTTGAATAAATTGACATCGGAAAAATTCGAACCATTGTTGGAGCAAATGCGAGCGCTAAACATTGATAACAACGAAAAATTGTCGGCTGTCATTTCGCTGGTGTTCGAAAAGGCGATCGATGAGCCAAACTTTTCTCAGGCATACGCACAGTTGTGCCAAAAATTGTCCAAACCAATGGAAGAAAAGGAAGAGAATGAACTGAGATCGGGCGAAAAAAGCAATAAAGACACGAAAACGGCTGTGTTCAAAAAAACATTGCTGAACAAATGTCAAATCGAATTCAATACGCATGTGGCCAATGAAAATGCGTTACGTGAAAAGCTCATGCCAATGCACATCGAACTCAACGAAACAAACGATCAAAATCGTAAGTTCGAATTGACCATGCAATTGGAAGAGGAAGAGCGTAAATTGCGTCGCCGTTCCGTTGGCACGGTCCGGTTCATTGGTGAATTGTATCGACAAAATATGTTGCTCACCAGCATCATGGAATGGTGTGTGATGGTTTTGCTGAACATTCGTACCGAAGAGAAACTCGAATGCTTGTGTAAATTGCTGACAACCGTCGGCCAAAAAATGGAGCATAAAACAGGCGACGAAGAATATGACAAAAAATACTATCGAGATCTGACGCCACACTTCCTCACTATGCAACAAATTGCATCAGATAAGAAACAATCGAAAATCAGCAGCAGAGTACGCTTCATGTTAATGGACGTCATTGAATTGAGAAAAAATAAGTGGGTGCCACGTCGTTCTGACTCGAATCCAAAGAAAATGGGTCAAATCCAAAAGGAAGTTATGGGTAAGTTCATTTTTTCCTTATTTTTCTCGTTCTGCGAAAAACATTTCACGTATTTTACCTTAATTTTCGATGGTGTTTGCAACCTATTTTTTTCATCAAGAAATTTGTTTATCATGAAGAAATGTTGTATTCTTTTTCCAAGCAGAAAAATCGACTTTACTAATGTTTGAAAAAACATGTGAATTCATTCCTTTTTTTTTCTTCGCAGATGAGCACTACAAAACGCAAATCCAAATACTTGCCAATATGCCAAACTCTGGTGGAATGGGTAATAGTAATATGAGAAAAGACAACCGTGAGCGCAATGATCGCGGCAGCATGCCACGTGGTGGCAGCATGTCAGGCAGTGGATACAATAATAGCAACAAGCTTGGTCGAGGTGGCAATTTCCAAGATAATGACGGATGGATTCAAACGGGTGGCAACAATAGCAGTCAACAATTTGATCCATCGAAATTCAGGACGACATCTGTAAGTAAAACTGTCGTATCATTTCACGTTCCTCGATAGAGAGTGTAAATCTAATTTGGGTCATTTATACTTATCTCTCTCTCTCTCAATGCTTGACATTTACAGAACATAGAAGATATTAAGAACACTGCATTGGTCACACCAAAGTCATTCCAATGGAAATTCAATACACAACCACAGGCAACGACCAGCCTTACAAATAGTTTTTCAGCGCTGAAATTATCCGATAAAATTAGTGAACAAACCAAAAAAGCGATCCGATCAACTCTAAAAAATCTGCTAACTCAAGTTCAAAAGAATCAAATCTGTTGCTATAGCGATTTTTACAAAACACTTCAATTCGAAATATATGAAATTGATGGAATTGATCGATGGGCGCTCGTACGCGATTTACACAACAGCGCCATGAATACATCCGGTTTGACGGAGGTGAAGCGCTGCTTTATCGGTACCATTTGTACCTATTGGCTGGAAAGTAACCAAATTACAAAGGAGGATTATGTACAAGGTTTAAGTGAATATATAACAATGTTAGCCAATATTTCGATCTATATGTGGAAAATTTACGAATGGACCTCTCAAATGATATGTAAGTGATTACCATGCGCACACTTCCTAAATCTGATCCAAGCCATTATCAATCCCATTGGATTGCTATATGTGATACAATCGAACATGATTCGAAAAATGAAAAAGGAAGAAAGAACGAGGCGTAAATTCTTGCAGATTTTTATACCATTGTGCTTTCAAGCAGTAGTAGAGAATGTACGGACTCAAATACACTGTACTTCAGTACTATTAATTGATAAATAATCATGGCGGCTCCATATTATTGCAAAAAGCACAAATGATATGAAGCCTTCACACGTTCTTTAGTTTAATGAGTCATTTTCTTTTCGTTCTACAGCTACGGCATTTTTCAATAACCTCATCACACTGGATGACTTGAAAAACACAGACAAAAAATCGAGAGCAAAGCTTTTGGGATGCTTATTACCATACTTGGCATACGAATATGGGCCACAATATGTACGTGATCTGTGGAAACAGTCCGATTGTAAATGGGAACAGTTTGTTGTTGACGGCAGTGTCGACAAATTTGTGGAACAATATGTAAGCGAATTAATTTCATTCATTCAACCAAATACTAAATAATTAATTCTTATTTCGTATGTAGAAATTGGAATTTGTGGAAAATCCAAGGGAAACCTTGCCTCCAGCTAGTAACAAAAGACATAGAATCTATCAATTGGTTCTCAAAGATGATTTTTCAAAAGAAGAAGTTGATAAATATATTAAGGTGGTCTTTGGTTCATTCTACATGGATCCAACTTTTTCTTTCTCATTTATTGAAAATTCGATTCCTACCCAAAAGCATGAAAAATGTTTACTTTTCCTATTTCCAGACCCATGTGCCTACAATTAATAAACAAAGTATACGTTTTTTAACACGAACTTTGATCCAAGCCGCGTGTAATATTTCGACAGCTGGACACCCTTTGGAGGATAAATTTCTCCCACGAAGCATAGAAATTTTGAAAGGATACATTGGAGGCGAACAAAAGCAGGATCTACAGTTGGAATCGTTGTACGCTATTGAGTTGCTGAGCAATGAATTGGACCATCCACCAGGTAAATGCCGACATTCGTTTAAATTAATGCCCTTTTTGCGAATTTTCTTCGTCTTGAACTTGAATCAATAAATGATCATTTAAACTGGTGAAAACTAAAATTCCGTCTGAATATTGTAGGTTTCTTGCATAAAGTGTTTTCCAAATTATATGATGATGAAGTGGTTCCATCGAACGTTTTCAAACAATGGGAGACATCACCCAATGAACCAATGGACAAAAGTAAGATTATTGGATTTCACTAATAAATAATTATGGAAATGTCCATCGCCAAATTGAGCTGAAGAAAAAACTACACCAAAATGAAATCAAGAATAACTAACACCAAAAAATCATTTCAAATTCTTTTCCAAAAAACAATTGACTAAACTGAAATTTGAACAAATTGTTTCCATTATTCTAATCACTTCTTTCTATTCTCTCTTGCAGGAGCTGCAGTTAAAAATTTAACCCAGTTCTTTGAGAATGTCAATGATGATTTGCACTTGATGATGATCCGTACGATTCTGAAAATGGACATCGCTGATTAATCAATGTAATGAAGAAAAATGAGAAAATATCACGAAGAAAAAAACTGGAAACGAAAAACAATTACGAGCGGACGCAAAATTAAAGCAAATATGCAAATAAAAATAATGAAATGATGAGAAACAAAATTGAACAACATACATTATCGGAAAGTCCTAAAAGAAGTACGCATTTATATACGAGGATATAAAAACATTTCATTAGATATTCATCAACGATAGCATTTATTCTAATATATAATCAGTCATTTAATAAAATGTTTAAAATTTGAATAATATATACATCTTAAAAAAGACTACACACGGATGTGTTTGGCGTTGTCTAATCGGTTGTATCTGCTGAATTATTATCTGGCATGAGCACAGTGCCATCATCTAAGTTGAACGAGTATTGTGCTTTTGTATCGAGCGGTAATTGACCGCAAGTTTGTTGGTGGGTTCGACGATGTGCCTGCAAATTCGATATGCAAGAGAAACGGGCGCCACAGCCTTGACATCCAAATCTCTTTACTCCGGTATGAAGTGATAGATGCGTAAGTAGACTCTCTCTGTGCGCGAATGCCTTATCACACTGATTGCATTTGAATGGTTTCTCTCCGCTGTGGCTGCGCTCATGGACTTTCACCTGGCCGTGTGTACGGAATCTCTTCTTACAAGTGTTCACGCTGCATGAAAATGGTAGATCCCCTGTGTGTATCAACCGATGGATTTTCAGTGAGCCAAGGCTATGCAATGATTTTCCACAACCCTCAAAATTGCATTTGTAAATTGGCGTTCGCCCACAATCACCCTGCTCATGGTCAGACAGTGCAACACGCGAATTGAATTTCTTGCCACATTTTGCACAAACGAACGTATACTTCTTCTGCGGTGCGCCCGTTTTTGTGTGCATTTTCCGAATGTGAGCCGCTCTACAGTCGACATCTTTGTACATTTTGTGACAGTAATTACATTTCAAACGATCTTCATGCTCTTTGTGAGCGTGTTCGAGCATCTTTTCTTTGGTTTCAAAGTACAATGTGCAACAGGAGCACTTGTGGATTAGTTCGCCGCTTGCACCTTGAGAGGAAGATAAATTTTCAATCAATTTTATTAGTTTTTTTTTTCATGTTCAGTAGTTGAAACTTCAACTTTAATTTAATTTTAATATTTAGAGTGTCAAAATTCCACAAACGCTTACCATGACACGGGATATGCTTACTCAACAATTTCTCTGTTACATACTGCTTATCACAATATTTGCATTTGAACATATCTTTACTGATGAAATCACATTCAATGTTATGCTTTAGATCCAAATGTTTTAGCAACGACTTTTCTTGCTTGAATTGTCTTGCACACACTTCGCACACGAGTGGATCAAATGGCTCCTCTGTTTTGCTGCTGAAATGAGTATGTTCAGAAAAAAATGAGTAAAAAGCTATTAAATTTCGAACTTTATCGTAGAGTTGTCGGAAATTCGGCTTATAAAAAAGTGTTGTGATCTTACGTTAATCCATCTGATTCATCAACCGGTACAATTTCCAAGTGTTGGATGCTGTTTTCAAGGTATTGTTGATTCATAATCTCATCAATTTCAGCTTCATCGATTGATATTGGGTTTTTCGATACGGTCGATTCTTGTAGAATTTCCACATTCCTAGAGAAAATTTTATCAAAACTTTTTATTATGTGAAAAATAAATGAACTTTTTCAATTAGAAAAGACATATTCTGATTTATAAGGAATCAAGTTTGTTTAAACAAAATAAAACTCATTTAAGAAATAAAGTGTCACCTTTTGTCATCGACTACTTGTTCAATCTCTTGACAGTCGACTTCCATTTCGGCATACTGTATGTTGCTATTCAAAATGATGACTTGCTCGACTTGTGGTGGTTCCATTTTGATTTGTATTGGTTTCTTTGCGATATTATTTCCCAAACTGGTGATGATGTAATTACCCGATGTCAGTACCAAAACACCGCTCTGCGGAATACTATACGATATGGTATTATGATTTTCGGTGCATTCAGCTAATGGTGCATCCAAAATCATTGGATCCAATATCTCTATACATTCTCCGCTCGATGCAGCTTCATTCTCATTCACTTCACTTTTTATGAAATTGACCGTTTCAATGCAAGCATTGCTGTCTGGTTTATTATTCAAGATCAAAAACTCATCGAATTGCTGTTCGTGATTTGGTTCTACTTTGGCTGGTTCCGTTTGGCTAGCTAATTCAGCACGTACCGATAACAGTTCGGGCACGCTAACGATCTTCCGCTTGGCATAGGCCCGTTTTACTGGAGTCTCTTTTTTCAACGTCAAACTACCTGGAACTGGAAATGAAACGAAAATCAAATAACCGAATCGCAAGAATGATCAATTGAAATGATTACCTTTGGTGCTCGCACGTGGAGCACACTTCATAATTTTGTATTGCGGTAGGCCACACGTTTGCTGCCGAATATTGCGGTGTTTGATTAAATTGCCAATGCACGAGAACTGGTTGCCACAACACTGGCATTGATATGGTTTGATACCCGTATGAAGCGAGGAATGAGTTACTAAACTCTCGCGATGTGCGAATGCCTTATTACATACCTGATACAAAGAGAAAAAAGTGGTTTATGGTTTCGAAAAATTATCTCATTTGGACCAATTGAGTTCAAACTTTTGTGTATACAAATAAAATGAACCAAACATTTCAATCTTTATGAATCTTACCAAACATTTGTACGGCTTTTCTATATAAATGAAAAAAATAAAAATTCATTAAAAACATTTAAAATTCATCAATCAGTTATCAACAGTAATATACCTTTGGTGTGACTTCGTTCATGTATCTTCAGTTGACCTCTGCTCAAGAAACTGTTTCCGCAGTTATTGCAAAGGTGCTTCTTCTCTCCGATATGGATTTGCATATGGGCGTTCAATGTATTTTGTGTCATGAACTTTGAATTGCATTGGTTACATGTATGGCAACGCACTGTACCGCATTTTGATTCGATGTGCAACCTATAGGTCAAAGGGATAAAGGTAATATTTAGCATTATTTTCTTACATGGACTTTGGACATACAGTGTATATTATACGCAATCCTATCTCTACAGTAATCTTTAGCAGACTTGAAAAATGAAAAATAAAATCCTAACCGTAGTTGATTCTTCTGCCTAAATTGAGCACCACAATCAGCACACACCACATACTCTCTGTCTCGACCCTCGTGCAAGTCATTTATATGCTTCAGAAACTCTTCTTCCGATGTACATTTTTCATTACAAATGAGACACTTGAAAATCTGGAAATTGATGAATGAGATTCGAATTGTATTATGTTGGTTTTTTCATAAGGTTTTACATATTATTTTCAAACGAATTGCAATGCAGAAAAGAAGAAATCTTCTTTTCTTCATCATTGAATTGCCGACATCTCCGCATTAAACAAACCTTATGAATGACTTCCTTGTGTATAGAACGCTCAGCGTCGGTTACAAAATGTTCATTGCATTCGGAGCAAATGAATCCACCAGGCGGTTGATGCCTTAATTTATGTTTCTTCAGTCCGGTTTGATACTTGAACAACTGATCACAAACCTGTTGTTGTTTTTAAAATAAATTGGTTGAATATTGATAGCAAGTTAAATTGAAATGTTATCGAGTGTTTCAAGCTTGTATCCGCATACAAATTGTTAACTTTTCACCACTTGTTTAACACTAAAATCACCATCATGTTTACTAACCGTACACAAAAACCTAAGTTTGCCTTCGGATGTGATGTACGTATTCACGGATGCTTGTGCCTCGCATCCCTGTTCGTGTTCCTGTTTTTCTTTGATGCTGGCTGAAACCACATCACAATATTTACATTTCAATCCATCATTATTCGTATCATCGTCGGACTTGTCGGAATGTGTTGATTCGGTCTGAACCGTTGAGTTCTTTTGTCGTCGATTTTTTCGAACCATTGGTACACACACACAGGGGGGAATCTTTCTGTTATCTCAGTATGAAATCGATTTTTTGTGTTTGAACACTGAAAAACACAAACCAAATGCAATTTTTTCGTTACACTTTAAAAATCTCGAAACATTTCGTTATTTTTGAAGTAAAACGGGCAATTTTCGGCTTTTTCCGATATTGAAGAAAATTTGAACTAATAAAAAATCCGATTCAACTGTATATTTCATTTGTTTTTGGTATTTTTACACTGCTATGGAATTATTCCAATTTTCTCTAAATTCTTTTTTGCTGTCAAACTGTGTGTGTGACAGCTATGTGCTGCAAGCCGATCGCAAATGGTTCGAGCCGATGCCGTCACTATTCAAATATTCAACCGAATTGAAACACTACGGTTGTGTTGCTATTTTGAATGGGATGAAATTGGTGGAAGATTCTTTTTTAAAGTTATTGATAGATTTGGACATCAGTGTACGTGTGCAGTTAATCAATAAATGTGCACATATTTAGAAGCTCTTCCATCCGGTAAAAGATGAAACAAATGGAACTTTGATCAAACCAAAAATAATACTACCAAAATAGTCTTATCCTAATGCAATCTACAGTTTTATAGAAAGAGAAAAATTAATTAAAATGATACCAATTCAATTTTAGATCCGACAAAAGGTTGCTTCAACATAAATCTATGGTATGACAATGACGAAAAAGCCGGAAAAATCCTCATATCAGATAATGTCTTAAAAATTGATCGAATGTCGTTGAATATTACACTCGACGAACATTTTTTCGATAACTGACTTGATTAAATCCACATTTTCACAGTATTTTCAACTTAAATTTGTAAAGAAGATAGTTTAACAACAGTTTGAAAATGAATGATTGAAAAAAGTCTTCAGCGTTTCGATTCAACAAAGAAAAACAGTTAATTTTTCTACGACCACCACTTAATATACAGCCACTCTGACTGAAAATACATTTTGCTGTCTCATGAAATTTTTCATGCGGTCTTTAGCAAATGAATAGAAGAATGTTGAAAAGATCGGTCAACGTTGCGGTCAAGTTAGTTGCTAAATGTGATTTTGATGTGAACATGAGTAAAATTCCGTTCAAACTATTCGAATTTCATATTAAGATAAATGACAAACTTCTGCTGAGTCTTTATGTGGCGAGATATTTTGGTTGTGATTGATTCCCAATTACCCACATTTATTTTTGCTGATTTCAAAGCTTTTTTTGGCACTATTTACAAATGTTTTCTTCTTTTTTTAAGAAATAAAAACTTTGAAATTATTTCAATGGGCTGATGAAAGCGTTTTCTTGGACAGCGTGCGTAAATCGGTCTGTTTGTATCGATTGTTTATTATTTATAGTTTTTTTTTAATGACATAATAAAAAGTGCATGGATTTTACTTTTTGTCGCCTCTCTGGCCAGTCCAATTGAAATTTCGTCCAAATTTTTGGTTCAGTTTGAACGTAAACCTTAACTGAAACGGTCATACAATTTACAGCAATGAAGTTCTTGGTATTTTCCGTGTTTTTCATCATTTGCGTCAATTCAAGTGAGATTTTAAACGGATACATTGGAGATTGTAGCTTAAAAAGTAGTTTTGACGCAAATCATGACACCTTGACATTCATCTGTGTGAAAAGTTTTCGTCAAACGGATCTATTCAGTGAATCGGCGACATCGACCTGTTCGGAATACACATTGACACCATCCAATACGGAATTTTACAAAAATCAGATCGTGCAAATAAGCTTTGAGGATTGTTCGATGTCAAATTTGGGCTACCGCATCTTTGAAGTGTACAAAAATGTTACAGTGCTCAATGCCAGTCATCTTGGTCTTGAATCGTTGCAGAAATTACTGTTCCAAGAGGCAAAACATTTAAATCACTTGGATGTATCACATAATAACATCGCTGAGCTGTCATCATTTTTGTTTGTCAATGCTGAACACTTGAAAGAGGCAGATTTCTCATTCAATCACATCAATCGAATTGACTTGCTTGCATTTGCTGGCGATTCAAAGTTGGAACAATTAAGTTTTGCCCACAATAATATCACTACGTTGCAGAAACAACTATTCGACTATCTACTTAATCTGCGGCATTTGAATTTATCACACAATTCTATCACCAATTTGGAAGAGCATACATTCGACAATTTGACAAATTTGAAAGTATTGGACTTATCATTCAACCCACTGGAACAATTAAGTATCAAAACATTTGCATCGTTGACAAAACTTCAGCGCCTGAATCTATCTCACACTCAACTAACCGAAATCAAGGCGAAAACCCTGTGCCGATTGGAAGAACTACAAACTCTTGACCTGTCACACAACAACTTGATCGTGTTGGACGTTCGAGCATTTGATGGTGGCATATTTTTACCCAAATTCGATTATTTAAAAACACTTTTCATCGGCGGAAATCAACTCAACGAACTGAATGGCTTTACAAGCGAACGATTCCCCGTGATGAAAATCGTTGGCATCCCAGATAATAAATTTGATTGCTGTTACTTGATAAAACTGTTTCGTTCGATCGGTTGGAAGCAACTAGAACTACCGTTCGATGACAATTCCAAGCATCCAAATCTGACCGACTCAATGGGAGTTAAGTGCAATTTTGGTGACGAATTTCTATACGAAGCAGAAAGCCCACATTATACATGGGCTGAAATTTTAACCGTCATCTGTATTTTACTGTTGGCTTTGCTTTTTGTTATGGTTGGCGCGATTATGAAGACAACGCGAAAATTCCGATCATCCAGAACAAATGAAAACATGAACGTGCCATGTGATAGCATCTCCAATTTTGACAATTCAAATATGTATGATGTGCCGAAAATTTAAAGCTCTGATCATCTTTTAAGAGAATGTAGAATTTTAAATGAAATTTGAAAATAAAAATCATTTTGTGATTGATTCGAACCGAATAAGCCGTTTAACCTTTTGTTGAATTATTATTATGATGGCAATTATTTATTCTTTACCGAAAATCCAGCTAAAAATAGACAATAAAGATAACATCAAAAATTTATAACTTTTTTTCTTGATTTCCAAACACGAATCAGATTTTCAACGTAAACTTGTCGCTTCAATGCCACAGCTGATGATAATTTCCATTGTTCGATGTCATACGTAAAAATAACATATTACCAAACCTTTTGTTGTTATTATTGAAATATGTGTGTCATGATATCATTTTTTTGTGTGCAAATTCACGCAAATAAAAGCCCAACAATGCAGTCGGTAATTTGATTCCTCGTCTTTATTTCTTGTTGTTGTTATGTGTGTGTGTGTTTTTTTTTCTGTGTTTTTCATTTTAGTATCGTGTAACATGATACGAAAACGTGCAATGTAATTGATCCGATAGTCTAATGCAGAAACAATGAAACCTTAAATCGATACCGAGGAATTTTTTTTTCGTAGACGGTTTTCTGATGAAAACCATATTTTATAGCATCTGTTTCATCAGGCATCAGGCATCAGGCTTTGTTCGTTTGCTGTGGGTGGTTTAAATTGCTGTTGCTATTAAATTTATAATGGTTTTTCTCACCCGCAAGAAGCGAGCAAATTGGTATGAAACAAGAACAAAAAAAAACTATATATTTATTTTTAATTGGTCGGTTGTGTGTGGTCAAGTAAAGCCCATTTAAATTTGAATAATTCATCGTGTGTAGATCTTTTTAACGCTTTGCCGTTTTCCATGGGTGTTGGGTTTGTATAAATTTGATGGTGCATTCGTGTGTGTATGTTGTTGTTTTCATCAATGGGCTATTCACATTTATTTATCATTCACCTATACCAATGAAGTATGTATACAAATAACCTCTTCGAAGCTACAACCACTTCGGTTGTTGTAGGGCAATGGTGCGACTATGAAGCTAAAACATATATTTGCGCTTCAACATTTACTTTCTCCATATTAGGCAAAGCTTTTATTCGTTTCTCGAGTAAGTATGTGTGAGTGAGTGTAATGAACATTTGAACTGATTTCAATTCGAAGTCATCGTCGTCGTTGTCGTTTTCGTTTGGCAAAAATTCGAACAAATATCTATTATAAATATTAAATGGAAAAATTTGTTCATATTATTCAATGTGCTGTATCGATGAACAGGTATCAAGGCTCACTGTTGGCGTTGTGATGCCACTTTTCATCTACACGCAATTTCTACTTTCCAGTTACCACTCCTCCCCATCCAAGAGAGATGATGAAAAAAAAACATACACACACACACACACACAATCAAATTCATTTTAATCGATTAAACAAATTTGCATAAACATTTGCATGTGAATCGGCATTGAAGTAAAGAGCCCGAAACGTGTGTACATCATTCGATGAGAAGTAAAGGAGTCTTGGTTTTTCATTCGGTATTCATGGCGTTATTTCGCTTGAAATATTGTTGTTATTGCCTGTTGTAAATAATCGAGTAAACATGACGTTTTCACTTGAACAGATATTTGCATTTCAAGGAGGCATTTTGTGAATTCGATTTCATTTCGCGAATGGAAAAAGCCGTAAGCCGCCGTTGCCGTCAAATAAATTCGATGTGCCACTTATGACATGTTCATGAAATATTCCGTTCCCTCGCTGCCGGGAATGGTGCGGCACCAACAATATGTGCCAATAACAATGTCACAACGCAATGCTCTTGATTGTGTCATCAAAGAATAACAATGGATTTGTAATTGTCATTCTTAATCGGAACGATGTAAGAGCAGAATAATTAAATGGATTCGATAGCGTGCATTGGTCAAAAGGCGTGTTAATGTAACATCATGATGAAAATCGATTAGATCGATATTGATATCTCCCGCATTTCAATTAAATGGGCATTTTAGTCTTTACAGCATTACCACATTCCATCCCATACATAATTAGATTCCTTTTACCTCCTCATTCTCGGTTGGAACATTCAAAGGAACTATCGTATAGCACGACTATACTATAATAGTATGAATATACGCTTTTACCATCTGTGTATTTCTTTTTCTGCTCGGATAAATTACCCTTTTGGCTGACATGCTTCAAAAAAGGGATAAGACGGCTAAATCGCATATATAGACAGACTACACGTATCTACTGCACGCGCAAAACCAAATTATGTAAAATTATGTGCCAACATATGTATACCATGGACGCTGGCATTCCAGATACAATTTACGTGCTTGTTTGAGTGTGTATGTGTGTGTGTGTGTGTATCGGATCTTGGGATTCATGTGCATTTGATTATGGTCCGTCGATAAATGCCACATTCCATTGGTGTGCTCATTTAAATAACGACGGAATTCCCGATATTTCGAGTGGCAAAAATCTTATTACACTTTTGACTTATGCAATTCAGCTGAACCAAATGTATTCCAACCGATAGTTTGGAATAGCGAGAATCCTTCAAACTACTTTTTTCCTACTACACTATTGCCTTTTATCTTAACATCGATATTTTTATGTGTCAATTTTCCATTTGCTCCATTCGAGAACCAAATGCTGATGATATCGATTGGCAAACACCATTCGATATCAAAATCGCCTTTTTCCCGAATTTTTATAACATATATGTGACTCCATTTTTGCAAACAATGGCATTTCGCAAAGTGAGATATCACAGTGGATTGTTGTTGATGTTTTTCCACTTCTGCTTCTCGTTTCAGGGCTTTACGCATTTATCCGCATGCACGAGAGAGAGAGAGAAATCGGTTTTGGTCTTCGAGTATGTGAGCAATGAACATACATCACAGCACATTGCACTTCCTCTCATCTCTTCGTCGTTCGTACTCATAATCTACTTGGCCTTTCATACATTCACATCTGCCGCCTCATTACATGATCGCTGCATACTATAAAACGATTGCTTTATGCTTCGGGTTGTTCGTTGGTTTGTTTTGCCACACAACGCGAAAAGAGCAAGAGCCGAACCAGAAACAAAAGCAGAAAAAAAAACGTAATAAAAACATCGTAAAAATAACTACGTTATGTGCGATAAAAGCCATGTTTTGTCGAGTGATAGTAAAGCTCATCGCCATGGCATGTGTGTACGACGCGCATACAATTGCCGAAATTTTGTCCACATTCATGTCGACTATACGTATATATTCTCATGTAGATATTTTGTTTAGGCATGGAAGACAGGACGCTCGGTTTTTTTTCTTCTGCCAATGTCATGCCACGGTGTACACTGTACAGTGAGAGCTGATGAGGGAGAGACTGGGAAAGTATATATCTAAGTTTTTTTTTCTCTTCTTCTTCACTAAAATACTATAAAGCACATAAAAATTTATGTCAAAAAGCGCATGCTTTTTACTTGGCGATACCCATACACCCAAATATACTTTTTCTGAATATGCTTGATGTTGCAAAAGAGGCAAACAGGCTCAATCGTTCGAGTGTATGAAAATACAATAAACAAAAGCAAAGCAGAACAAAACGCTTTTCCATTCGGCATAATATATATATTGAACACACAAAACCCACCAACACATGCACTCTGTCGCTCTCTTCCTTCGCTTCTCTGTTTCTATCGCGTTGGCTGTACAGTTGTTCCAGTCGTGACTCCACTCTAACAGTAGCCGTGCATATGAAATGCGAAAATTTGTGCGATTTGAAAAATGCTTCATTGCGGTTGTATGCGAACAATGTCAAGAAGCATTCCGTACGTGGTGCTTATTTAATTCGAGTATGTGTGCCTGCGTATATCGCGGTGTCTCTCTCTTTCTCTGCTTCTATGCTTTGTACATACAAAGTTGTGTGCTTCGACGACGACGACTACTCTAATCTTCAATGTTCGAGCCAATATTCCCTCTCCGGTTCTGCAGCAACAGCAGTAGCATTGAACAACAGTGGCGCTTATGATTCCTGCTGACTCCAACAGCATTTGAAATTTATTTTACAGGGTCGCCAAATGTCAATCGAAAAGCTCTTCAATTTCGATAATACTCGATCGACTGCAAATGTTTAAAAGGGATTACTCCATCGATTTATGTTTGAAAATGTTTTCGAAAAAAGTGTGAAAGCGAGCAAAAAAAAACCACACATGCAGCGAATCGAATTCAGTCATGATCAAAATGATACCAATCAATTGAAATGGTAATGTGAAGAAGAAAAAAAAACATATTTCATTTTAGCATATTGTTTTATGCTATTTTCGTTCCCTTTGCCGTTGCCGTTCCGTTATCGGGTGATGAAAAGCGAGTATTGCTTAGCTTACGGCACTCAACATTTTCCCGTTCATATCTCTTCGTATTCTGTGAAGCGACTAACGGATGGAGCTTTTTCCCTTGCATTTTTCTCAAATAAACGTTAGAATGAGGTGCGTACGCGCAGTTTGTACATTACGGATTGAATGAAAAGTGTAACTGCGTACTTCTGTTTCTATCCGTTGTGTACTTTCCTCTCGCTCTTTTCGTTCATTCGATTGTGTGTGCTGTGTGTGGTATATGTCGTTTTGGTTAAACTTTTTCAGCTGTTTACCTTCGCACAGGAGCGATATACATACACAACTAAAATACGTTTGGGATACACTGTAAAAATTATACAACAATTTCTGGGTTAGTTGCGAATGGCATGACTTTACGTATGCCAGACCTGTTTTATATTGAAAATTTACGAGATTGTATGTGAGGTATTTGAAATAATGTTGATACATAACACGTTTGTTGCGATCATGATTTTCAGTTTTTAGTCTCATTTTATTGCTTACCCGTACGTAGCAAAGGATGAAAGTCTACATTTAGGCGGAATTTCAGCTAAAGACACATTCAGTCGATATTTCTACAATTAATTGGAGCCTGCTGGCGAATTTACGCTTATAATCTAAACAGAATTTCGCCTGAAACTCCATTTATTAGGAGAAAATATAGAACTTTTACTGTGTAGTTCTTTTCCAACGAAAACTTCCTATTGCCAAGTCTTAAACAACGAAGAATGTGTGTTACGAAACACGGCCTGAATTCACTTACACACTAACCCAAACATTTTTTTTCCCTCCGCAAAAGCTTTCGTTGTATCGATATGTGATGAGCGTGAGTTTGTGTGCGTGTGCAAGCAAATTCGACTATGTTTTCGTATACCGTAGCGTCTAACGAACACACTCGGGCCGAAAGAGAGTAAGCGAGAGAGCGACAGAACGTTGGAAAGTTTTCGAAATGAATTGGTGTTTATGTGTGCGAATAAATCGCAGCGCCATGCACAACATCTCATTGCCGAAAAATCCAAATCGTTCAGTTCGCTCGCGTTCCTGGTGCTAAACCAATTGAAAATATATATACAACCAATTTAATTTCCATAGAAGAAAAATATTTTCTCATCCCTTGTGTATAGATGAAAAAAAAAATAATTAGAAAATGAACAGAAAAGTAGTATACATGTGTTTGTGTGAGTGCTGTTTGAAAAAATAGAAGAGAAAAAGAGAGAATTTCGCAGAAAACCCAATAGATATGGTATTTTAATTCACCAACAGAAGGGAAGAAAAAATGAGCCCGTAAATTTCACTAAATGCGAATAAAGTAAAATAGCGAATATTTTGCTGGTGCTTGGATACGGAAAGAAATCAATGTGTGTTTTTTTTCATGAAACAATAGTGTGTGTGTGTGTGGCCACGGGAAGGCACAATTTTTTTTGGAAACATTTGAACTGAAGGACTTAAACATTGTAGCAAAGAAAAGAGGGAGAGAGGAAAAAATGTAAAAGAATTCGTTGTATTTGGTGCAAAATTCATAGTGTGTCCGATGAGAGAGACGACGCAACCCACGGACGCAATCAAAAATCACGAATTTTTCGCTTCGGATTCGTATACCACGCTTGCCTCACAATACATCTAGCGTTTAAACGAGCAAAAGAGAAGAGAAAAAATAAAACATACTCCCAGAAATCGGTGGCAAACGAAAAAACCATATAAAAACACGTAATGGAACAAACCAACAATGTCTACGAGTGATATCCCGTAGTGACAACGAATCATATTATGTTTTTCCCTTCATTTTGTCGGTTTTTTCCTTTGCTTTTTTATTCTGATTGTTGAATTTCTCTTTCCTGCCTTATTCCCACGTACACGTAAATTCTGGATTTTATTTTTTTTACGTTGTTCTTTTGAGTTCTTTTTTTTTCGTTGCTCTGAACTGAAATACGATATAACCGCACCTAAAATAGTTCGAAAATCGCAGATACCGAATTTTCCCAGCAGCGTGCATCGATTCGAATAATTTCGCTACCAACAACAACAACAACAATTTTTAACGAATTAACGAACCAGTGCCATGAAACTGGTTCCGGAAACATAGGAATCTATGAGATAAAATTATCGAAATAACCGAAAAACCAAAATCTGAAACATAACATAGGCTGTAAAAACTACGCGATCCGTTGTATACACACCACCACCACCACCAACAACACCAACAACAACAACAATCGACAAAAAAAGGGCAGCAGCCACAAATGCACGATGATAAAGATGGGGGAGCCACCGCCATTCTATCACTTTTGGATACGAAGGCGAGGACTATCTAGCACCTTAACATGTCTTTCGGTCGTCGCCGTCATCATCATCGCCTGTTTTCTTCCAATTCATCCAGTTAACGCAAGCAGTTGTAGTGATCTAGAAGAACAAAAATTTGATGAAAATATTTCTCTAGGTATGTGTTGACCTTATGCTCGATTTTCTACCTTCCGTTTTTGTGTGTGTATGCTTGTGGTTTCGTTTGTCCCGAAACAATTTGTAGTTGTTTTAATTGGACACTTACTTGTTTTTTTTTTTTTCTATTTATCTCGTTTGAGTGATTGATGAGTGAATGTAATCAAATTAATTACCACAAAATGAAAAAGTTTCAGTTTACACAATTAAACAGTTTAATGAGAATTACAGTAATTCGAAGCGCATTAGTGCGATGAAGAGTACTTTGATTTAGTACATTTTATGATGAAAAAAATTTCCCCTTAAACCACGCCGAACAGTATTTACGCTACTTGAATGTGAAACTCAAAGCTTAACTTAGCAATGTCAGCGCGAACCGACAAAAAAAAGTTTGAAATACTTGTAAGTGCTCAAATCTTTACAATTACAATAGCGCAATGCTGCTTTTTATAGAAATAATCTAAGGTCAATGGGCAAAACTTTCATCCGAACCAATTTGTTAGAATGTTGTTGTTTCATTGCAATTTGTCTAAGTTCGCTTGATTCTATGAGTGACAAAGAAAATTAATCGAATGCGTTAAAAAAAGTGATGACTTGAGCTTATCATTATTCAGAGCGAAAGAAGAAGCAAAAAAAAAATGCAGCGAAGATAAAGTTCGAAGCGAATTCGACGAAAGACAAAAATAGAAGAAGCCGCTGAGAGATAAAAAGCTAATGCTTCAAACGGATATATACGATATGGATCCCATGGAAGAACACATGATGAACATTATAAACCATGGAAAGAGAAAATACAATCAAATCAGTTTCGTTTCCCTCAAAATTACTATTGTTATTATTACTGAAAGAAAGAACGGAGAAATAACAGAAGGAAAGAAAAAAAAAACACAACACACGCACACCAATACCACATCAAATACAATAAAAAATACAAACGACAGAGAAATGGAGAGACGAAGCGAAGAGTGGAACAATTCTTGGTTGAGAAAACTCAAGCATTTCGTGTCTACGTTTAGCAAACATATATAACAACGCAAACATACAGACACTACATACACTTTTTTCAGCATTATGTTTTCTCTATTTTGTTTTCCCATTTTCTGAAGCGCACACATATTACACGAATCTGGCTCTTTTTTTTCGTTCCTTTCCTTGACTGTGAGCGCTGTCTTGCTCTTGGTGTGTGTTCGTTTTTTTCGTCGTTTTCGTCGTCGTCTTCTCTTCTTTTTTTCGCTTCATTCGTGCTCATCTTTTATTTTTCGAGGTGCGATTCGGATGTGTATATACATATGTTCGGTGTACACTAGCGTAGGCATTAAACATGCGTGCTCAAACTTTGCTGCGATTGATGATAACAATATTTTTTGCTCGGCTTCTACACGTCTCTTTTGCTATGGATCCCTTAATAATGACGAATAAGAGTCATCAGACAGTATTCTGATTTGGTATTTTAATGAGATCGCTGGGATAATTTCGAGATAAACTTACTAGTTCAGTCTAATTTTTTTTTTGCTCTTCTCTCTGTATCTCTCTTTCTTTCTCTCCTTTTCTCTTTCTCTGTCTCTCCTCCTCGATATCTCTCTCCACAACATTCAAATGCAAATTCTTACCGCATTGAAACTGGTTGCACAACTTTCGGGCGAAAACAATCTATTTCTATCCAATGATTTGTAAGTTTCGCATTTAGATTGTGCGACTTGCTTCTCTAAATCGCTGGCTTTCAAATGTTGTTTTTATCGATTCATTTCGGTTGGTTGTCTTTATTGAGTTATTTATACCGTCTCTTCAGAAGGATCAAATTTAGAATATGTCCAGATAGATTTATGGGAAACAAAAGCTCAAGTTTGGAAGAAGAAGAAGAAAAAAAAACCATCTTCGATCGATTTAGCTGTCGCTTATAACCTAGAGTAAGTCCACATACACACATACAGCATTAATATACTTTTGAAATAATCCCAATTTTTCAATAGACATTCTTTTAGTATAAAAGAAGAAAAGAAAAAAAATGACAAAAGTGAAATCCGATCTATTTTTGTTTGTTACTGTTTCGAGGTGACCGGTTGAGTTTGAAGTTTTTCAAATTTCAACATTGACAAATTCGCTTACTCCGCCTGTCAATTGTAAATAAGCAAAGCATAAAAATAAACGCCGAAATGCTTTTCGCATAAAGTAGATAAAATACGTACGTATTTGTGCTTTTGTTACACAGAGCTAGTTAATACCCGCCAGAGGTAGCTGTGCATAAAATATTCAATAGCTGAATAGAGAGAAAAAAGAGCAAGAGCGCGTTTGAATTCAATATAGAAAAAAAGAATCATCATCATCAGCAGCACCAGCAAAAAGAAGCAGAAGATATAAGCACTTTGATACAATTGTCATTCAGTTTTAATTTCCTCTTTTTTCTATTTTCTATCCGAAGAATTTTCCCGTCAACGAATTACTTTTGCATAATATTTCCGTGGATTGTCGCCGCCGCTTTGGTTAGTTTTTTTTCTTTGCTTTCTCTATCAATTTCTCTCTACAATACAAAAAAGTGTATCAAGTGTGTACCACTTAAGGTACACACTTTCATTCTTTTTATGCTTTTTTTTTTCATATCATTGTTCAATCAAAGCGTCCGATTGTGAATAGTAGAGATAACAAACGAATGTGCACTGCACGTAATAGAGAATATAAAAATGCGAAATGAAACATTGAATAAAACGAAAGTGTTTGAGCAATGGCGACGACGGTGGCGGCGGCAGAGGAGCAGGGTGGAAAAGTAATCTATGTGTAAAAAGAACTGAGACTTTGCGCACGTGCGTCAAAATACCGTGTTTCTTTCCTGCTATTTCGCTCTTTTTCCGTATTATTATTTTTTTTCTATATTTTCTATTTTATTTGCCGTTGAAAACATTATTTTTCAATACGCAGCAATTGAATATTATTATCATATATATGTAGCACAGCCACACACGGTGTTGTGCCAATTTAAAAACAGCACAGAATGTGTAATTTGTGCTCTGATAAAAGTAGCACAACCAATAAATTATCCAGCGAATCGATTCCATTCGCTTGTAATTTATGCAATAAATGTTTCGTATCATCGAAAGGGAGACGAATAAAGATAGTGAAACGAAAAAAAAAATAAAGTTTATAATTGTCTAATCACTAAATTTCCATTCTGATTTGAACTATTTCTTCTTTTTTTTGCTTTCGTGAAATGAGTATTTAATTGAATCCATTTGCAATTAAATGCGCTTCTAGCGTCCATGGAAAATTCGTTGGAATCAGTGAGTGCTAAGCGCAATTTGAATAGAAAAGCATACGAAATAAACAAATAGCAAAGGTGTACGTACTAACAATGACCTGAAATATTCCATTCGTCGCATACGGTTCCAACACAATAGACGCGCATACACATGAACAGACACAATGCGCGCTACATTAATTTGCACTAGAAAACTCTCTATTGTAACTGAAACAAAGAATAGGCACCTTTGTATTCGCACATTTTACAAACGCTTTGTTGTTTTCCTTTTTTTGTTGAGCGCTTCTTTTTTGTGATACCAAATTCAGCAGTGCGGAATATGCACGCGATTCGCGCGAAATAAATTTATTTCAACGGCCTACTTACTTAATCGATTCCCACGATTGATGTAAATTTCAATTTCACAATTAATATCTAATTGTGTGTTGTTCGATCGAACCTATTGAAATATCCAGCATCTTTTCGATTTTGTACGTTCATTGTCAATGGAAATTTTGTATGTGTAGGGAGACCTAAAATGGAACCTATATAACTATAATTTAGGCTCATTTAGTTTTTTAACAGAATTAGAAAAACATATGTAGTTAGACGAAAGGTTTATGTTGCTTTAACAGTAAAGGTTTTACTGTCAATTAATGAAAATTTCAACATCGAATACCATCCAACATCTGTATACCATCCTATTGGAATTGATTCTGTGGCAATTCAAATCGGAACAATTCGAAAGTTCAAACAAAAGGTATTTTCGGAATCATCACATCAAATATTGAATGAAATAACAGTCATTGAAAAGCAAACTAACCATTTTCAACATTCGAATAAAAATCAGCTTAAAAGTCATCGTTTGTTTGTTTTTTTTTCTCTCTTACTGCTCGTAGCTGAAGACCTGGTTGAATTAACAATTTGGGTGAAGAAATTATGTCGGCCTTTTCAAGTATATTTGTCTTTAACAGATTTTCTGCACAAAGAGACTTGAATTGTCTTGATGACATCGTTCTGGATTTGATTTTTCCGTTGAGTGTATTTAGCATTCATAAAATGGATCATAAAATGAGATTATGACATAATAGACTCGGTATGTGCAAGTGTATTGTGTTCCGTACCAAATGCTTTTTTCCACCGCATTTCTCACATACTTCAAAGTGAATCATTCTGGACAGATGGGAGTGCGAGAGTGAGAGCGACAAAGAGAGAACGAGAAGAGAGAGAGAGATAAAAGAGCCATCGAGTCGAGAATTCATTTAAAATGTGAATCCATTCGCGAATTGCAAATTTTCGAAATTGAATGGAACGAATAAAAACTGTGGTCCTTTTATTCTATACAAAAATGGACGTAAATAATCATTTGATGTTGATTTTCTGTGCACAATACAAACAATGGCTTTTCAACAACAACAACGACGACGAGGAAAAAATCTCGCATCGAACAAAAAAACAACAACAATTTAATGATTACTATTAAAAAAGTGTATATCGAAAACTGCAAACAATTTGAAATATTTCGAGTCATTCGTGACACGGATTATACATATTTGGGTGTTAACCCAATGCAAATATTGTTATTTGTGCATCATTTATTACGAAAATTCCACGATATTGATTAATCATCATTTTATTTGTTATGGTGACGAGAGGGCGGCGGGTGGCATGGAGGACGGCATGGAGTTGGAGTGTTGGTGAATTCCGAAGATTAATGAATGCGCAGAACGATTTCAAATTTTTTGTTTGTATGCCAGAAACGATATCGCCTG